CACCACATGACCTGGGTTGCTGTGTGTAAGAGAAACCTGGTGGACAAGCAGCAGCTAGGACAGGACCAACTGCTTCATCCAACCAAGTCTCTGTTACACATGCCAGGTCAAGTCCTCCATCCACGATCAAGTCATGGATGGCAGTGGTCTTATGAATCATTGACCTAGCATTGCACAACAACACCTTCAGGTCATGTGGGTTTCCCTTGTTGAGCGCAAATATAACATTGAATCACAATCGTACAAAATAACTCAGCAAACTGACATTTATCAAGAGTTAAACAAAGGTTAGTGTACTAAATATTATTTCCAATTCTAGGTAGTTTGCTATTGGAGAAATAACATATATGATTATAAAAATCTAAAGCAAGAATTATTTTAAAATATGATTTCATTTCTAGATCAGACAGACAAGATTTCTTCTACTATATATTTCTTTCTTTATCATATACACACAAAGCTTCTATTTTTAAACAGGAAATATTTTTGTAACTAAGGTCTATTATACAAATCCTTACAGATGTTCATTTTGTTACAGTTCTGTTAAGTTGTATACAAATTATAAAGATGAGTCAATTATTTACTAAATTCTCGAGTTTTGCCATTACTGCATATTCTGATAGTTTCTCTTTCCATACATCTATTTCAGGACATATGTCAGATTTCTATATGTTGGCCAACACCACTCTGACTGCTGTGGTCATATAACTAAATAGTTCGACTGATGATTTCACAATACAGGTGCTGAAGGAGTCATCCCCAACAGCATAGTTTTGGGGTCCAATGCAAATTTAGGTGTGGGGTTTTTTTTACATTTTTTCATTTCGAAATGAATTTTCCTCCAAAACTTTTTGGTCTTTTCACAGGTCCACCATAAATGAAAGAAGATTCCTTAAGGTCTATCACATTTCCAGCAATGTCCATTCATAGCATTATTCATCTTCTGTATATTTTTCAAAGTTATATACCATTGAAAGAACATTTTTGTACAGTCTTACCTCATGTTACGGCCGCTTCAGGTTACGTGTTTTTGGGTTGCAGACCACGGGAATCCTGGAAGTACCGGGACGGGTTACTTCCGGGTTTTGCCGCTTTCATATGCGCAGAAGCGCCAAATTGCACTGGTGCCTGTGCAGACATGGTGCTTCAGGATGCGAACGCTGTGGGTTGCGAACGTGCCTCAGTCACGGGTTATGTCTGCAACCCGAGGTTCCACTGTACCAATTTTGTTTTAGGGCTTAACTTGCAGTAAATTTTATTCCTTTATTCATAATTGTTCGCATTGTTCCACTGTGAACTGCTCTTAAAATTTTTGCATCCATTTTGTCATATAAGGTTTTGCTTGTTCGGGCTTGGTGTCATATTTGAGTAATAGTTTATAAATTTTACCCAAAAGGTAGAACTCTGTTATGATGGACTCAAATTCTGTCTTTTCACTGATTTAAATGTTTGCCATACAGTCTTTCTTGAATCTGGATATTAGTTGACAGTATGTAAGCAGTTTCAAATTTTTCTCCTCTTTAATACTTTGGCATGTATTTGATCTGTTCTTGAAGATGAACCATATCTTGGTACAATCTATACCGTATTTTTCGCTCTATAGGACGCACTGGACCATAGGAGGCTCCGAACCATAGGAGGGGGAGAACAGGGGACCAAAAATTCTCCCCCTCTCCGCTCAGCGCCCTTTCAGCAAAGCGGGAGGAGAAACGGAGCCCCTTCCATTTCTCCTCCCGCTTCACTGAAGGGGCACTGCGCAGGGAGGAAAAACTGTGCAGCGCCTCTCCAGCGCAGCAAAGCCTAGAGAGCAAGAGGGATCGGTGTGCACCGACCCCTCTCGTTCTCCAGGCTTCAGGCAGCTATCCGCAAGCCTTCGGAGTGCAGCGGGAACTTGCGCTGCGCTCCAAAGGCTTCAGGCGGCTATCCCTGAAGCCTGGATAGCGAGAGGGGTCGGTGCGCACCGACCCCTCTCACTCTCCAGGCTTCAGCGAAGACAATGCGTAGCCTCTGGAGCGCGGAGGAGCGCTCCTCTGCGCTCGGAGGATTCGTGTTGCTATCGCTTAATCCAAGGAGCCTGAAATAGCTCCATAGGACGCACACACATATCCCCTTAATTTTTGAAGGGTAAAAAATGTGTCCTATAGAGCAAAAAATACGTTAGTCATATATTCTCCTATCGGCTCTAATAATAATATTGCAGTGGTGACATTAACAGTGCAGGTAAGGGCATTTTTGTGATTTTTGTAGTGCAACTCATGATTTTTGTGGTGCAGGCTGTGCCCCTGGACATGATGTGTGATTTAATGGTGCGTTTGGGTTGGCCCAATGCGAAAAGTGTGAGGATCCATGAGGATCCGTGCTTCAAAACCACGTTTTTGGGCCGTGTTATGACCAGAAAGCTGTGGATCCTAGTTTTTTGTGGTGCAAGTTGTATCCCTGGACATGATGTGTGATTTGACAGTGAGTTTGGGCTGGCCCAATGCAAAAAGTATGAGGATCCACGAAGATCCGTGCTTCGAAACCACGTTTTTGGGCTATGGAGTTGCCAGGAAGCCGTGGATCCGAGTTTTTTGTGGTGCAGGCTGTGCCCCTGACTACGATGTGTGATTTGATGGTGAGTTTAGGCTGGCCCAAGGTGAAAAGCGTAAGGATCCATGAGGATCCATGCTTCAAAACCACGTTTTTGAGCTGTGGTATGACCAGGAAGCCGTGGATCCTAGTTTTTTGTGGTGCAGGCTGTGCCCCTAGCCATGATGTGTGATTTGACGGTGACTTTGGGCTGATCGAGTGCAAAAGGTGTGAGGATCCATGAGGATCCGTGCTTCAAAACCACGTTTTTGGGTCACGGTATGACCGGGAAGCCATGGATCCGTGATTTTTGTGGCACAGACTGTGCCCCTGGCTATGATGTGTGATCTGACGGTGAGTTTGGGTTGGCCCAATGCAAAAAGCGTGAGGATCCATGAGGATCCGTGATTCAAACCACGTTTTTGGGCCACGGAGTGGCCAGGAAGCCATGGATCCGTGATTTTTGTGGTGCAGGCTGTGCCCCTGGCTATGATGTGTGATCTGACGGTGAGTTTGGGTTGGCCCAATGCAAAAAGCGTGAGGATCCATGAGGATCCGTGATTCAAACCACGTTTTTGGTCCACGGAGTGGCCAGGAAGCCATGGATCCGTGATTTTTGTGGTGCAGGCTGTGCCCCTGACTATGATGTGTGATCTGACGGTGAGTTTGGGTTGGCCCAATGCAAAAAGCGTGAAGATCCATGAGGATTCGTGGTTCGGAACCAGGTTTTTGGGCCACGGTATGGCCAGGAAGCCGTGGATCCGTGATTTTTGTGGTGGATGTTGTGCCCCTCACCATGATGTGTGATTTGACGGTGACTTTGGGCTGATCGAGTGCAAAAGGTGTGAGGATCCATGAGGATCCGTGCTTCAAAACCACGTTTTTGGGTCACGGTATGACCGGGAAGCCATGGATCCGTGATTTTTGTGGCACAGACTGTGCCCCTGGCTATGATGTG